GAAACAACAATGGCCAATGAGGCAAGTAATAGTGAAGCCTCTGGAGTCGTCCTCTGTGTGTGTCTGAGAGACCTTTGATTTCCCACAGTGAAGAACATCACTTAAAGTCCACTCATAAGCCTGCTGCTGTACGCTGCTCTCACCAGGCTTAACTTCTAGTTTATCACTTGGCTTGACACGGTAGCCTCTGCGGATAATAAGCAGCGGTTCAAATCAGCCAAAGCATAAGCAGGCATTGCATATTCTCCTGATAACTGAGTCCAAACTCTAGAAGGCAAGAAACCTTCAGTGGGAAGTTTCTGTAAACCAGTGGTGATCATGTGCAATCTCAGAGACATCCCAGATGTTTTTCTTTTTTTTCTTATATCATCTTGCAAAACAGATTAAGAGCATTTTGTTTTTAAATAAAAGCCAATTTTTTTTTAGCTTAAAACCTCTTACGCACGCAGTTTTACATTTTCCCGAAATGTGCAGATTTCTCACATGTTAATAAATGCAGGGCTGGGGCCTGAAAATGCCTTCGGCAATAATAGGAAAAAAATAGAGTAGATTAAGCTCAACTTTCTGATAGGAATGTCAATTTCACTCTGCCTTTATTACCCCTTTTGAATCAATAGCAGCCTCGCATTTAATGATGTCTTCATTTCCCCGCAGCTCGACTCTGCAGCGGCCGCTGAGCAGTCTAATTCAACCAGTGTCCTAACAGCAGCCGTGTGTTTCATTTGTAATGCCGGGTGAATTTCTACAATGGGTGAAGAGTTAGCAAGGGTTATGTATGAGTAAGTGACACTTGCCATCATTATAACGCTAGCACCTTGTAGCAGAGAGGAGATTAAATAATCGAGCTAGAAGCCAAGCAGCAGATCAAACAGCCGTTCATAAAGCAGGATAGCTTAAAGGACTTTAAAACATTGAACAAGTAGCCTACAGCAGAAAGAAATGAATTAGCACTTGAGTAGCAAAGCAGAACGACAGTGATCTGCTACAGTATCCTGGGGCAGAAACAATAACCCTTCAAAAGTACAATGTGACTAGCTGACGGAAACTTAATTTGATCGGTAGAACATTGTGTTTGGATGTTTTCGGTACACAGAGCCCCAGCTTCAGGAATGCACTCAGAGATAACACCTCCATGCATGCATGGGCTAAATCTTAGAGCTAAGGCTGGTATCTGCTGATCTCAGTACAAAAGGTAAGAGCCTCTAAGACTGAAACGGCATGATAACAGAGAACATGGTAGTTAGTGAGGTGCTGATAGGTGGACTTTGCTACTGCTGAACAGAGACTGTTCCTCCAGTTTTAGGACTGATAGAAATAACAGCGTCCCGGTGGTTTGACTCTGAGGTTGGTGCATTGATTCATGCACAAATTCTATATTCCCATTTTACTTTGTTTTAGCCAAAAAGATTTTAACCTTTCAAGGTTTTGATATATTTAAAGGCCTTTAAAAATCCTCCTCCGTCGTGATGGCACGTCAAGTTTCTGTGGAAATGTGCAAACAGGAAAAACTACTTTTCAAACCTTTTAGCCAATGTTAGAGACAAAAAAAAAAAAGCTAAACTAACAACACCGTAACAGTTACGGTGCACAAACCTCAAAAATTTGATCAAAACACCTTTTGATTTAACATCAGCTTTCAGATTGTGGTATTGGCATCCTAATTATTGACATGACATTGTTTACCAAGTCTTTTTTGCAAATGCTCCACAAATTTATCACACAAGTGAAATTGCCGTGTATATGGAGGACCATCACTACCATATTTTTAAAAATAAATACAGAAATAAATAAAAAAGCATACAATTAATTGCCCCCAAAAGTACAATAAACAAATAAATCTAGGTAGAAATTAAATTATACAATGAGACATAAACATATAAATACATCTCATAATTAGCTTCTTTATTTATTCGCCTTTGTAATAATTACCTTATTTATTTCTTGTCCGTTATTATTTTTAACTTTATTTATTAATTACCTTTTTTTAAATTATTTATTTATGTGCATGTTATAATATTTTTGCCTGTTCTATTCTTCCTTTGCATTTTTTTTACCCTATTTATTTATTAAACGCTATTTATTTCTGCCTGGCGTTTTTAGATTTCTGTATAAATTCCTGCCTCATTATGCAAATGAGTCTTAGATGGTCAACTTCTACCCAGTGGTTGGTTAGCATTTTACTGCATCGGTTTACAGGAGAGGAGAGTCTGAAGTCACTGGCCGTTTCTCAATTCATAAGAACGCGAGTGCGGACTCGTGTCCTTGCCAAATATGTTCTTGAGAAGAACTCGGGAAAGTCGGGACTCAGGGAGAACGGGAGCATGCAGCTGGTTCAATTGGAACAGAAGCGTACTGATGAGGTCACTAAATGCTCGGCTGGTCACCTCCTGTTAATAGTCTCTAGATTATAATAAATTCCGACTTTTTTCATTTGGTGGGGGAATAACAATTAACACAGTCAGATAAACACAAATCAACTGAACATTTTGCCAAATAAAAAAATAAATATCACCACCATAGCCACTGTCCTTCACACGCGGCTATGCCGAGATAGGGCTGCTACAGACGGGCTAGGATTAGACCTAGCTGCCGTTACCCTCGGAGCTCCGCTGGTTGCCGCGGCCTCTCAACTTCGAAAACTTTTTTTTAAATGACGCATTAAATTAGTAATTGGACCATATAATGATACTTAAAAGTATAATGTTCTTCCTTAAATTATCTCAAAACATAATTTTCTTGAACAACTGCAACAGAAAAGAGAACTTTTAACTTAATACCCTGAGCTCTGTGAGTTAAGAAGATGAGCTTCTTCCTCCAGATTCTGAAAAACTACATTGTCGACATCTGTGTCCATGTGTGCCGCTAACTGAAACACACGTTCTGCCAGAGCGTCCAAACGAAAAATAATAAAGTCTATATTTTTTTTTTAACATTAGCATTTATCAAAAACAGTTGCTAAATGCCTCAGCTCACTGACAACATCAACGTAGGTAGCCATTTTTGTTGTGACTGTGGCCGCTGGCATAAATGCTATCCAACCAATGTGCAGAAGTCGACCCTTCCTCATTTACATAAAGAGGCAGAAATGCATTAAGCTGACAACAGCCAGATGCATGTCTCGCTCCGCCCAGCTCCACTCACATACATCTGGGAACCCGCTCATTGAAAGTGATTTCCCCAACCGAATTTATGGTCTGTCCAATCAGGACGCAGGGTGGGTGTGTCCTGGAGTGGAGAAGCGACCGTGAGATTCCAACAACAATGGCGGCTCGCATTGAGGAAGCAAGCGTTAGCATTGATGCTGCTATTTCTTCTGTGTTGTCCAATCTATCTGATATTGTTTCATTAAAAGAACATCAGAGAACGGCTTTGAAGGCTTTTGTTGGTGGAAACGATGTTTTCGCCCTTCTCCCGACCGGATTTGGCAAGAGCTTGATCTACCAAATGGCTCCTCCTCTCACAGCGTCACGGGTTAGCTTCGGTGTGAGTGGTTGAAATAGCACGTCAATAAAGATGACAGACAAGTGGCTTATCCAATCATATGCAAGGAGTTTTGATAAGGCCCAGCCTTCAGTAAAGTCAATTCCTATGGCGGGTTCCCAGATGTATGTGAGTGGAGCTAGGCGGAGCGAGACATGCATCTGGCTGTTGTCAGGTTAGAAATGCATACAGATATTTAGAAAGACAGGCAGACATAAAAAGCATTGAAGAAATAAATAGGGTAAAAAATTACAAAGGAAGAATAAAACAGACAAAAACATTATAACATGCACATAAATAAATAAGGTAATTATTACAAAGGTCAATAAATAAAGAAGCTAATTAAGAGATATATATACATTTATCTCTCACTGTATAACTTAATTTCAACCTACATTTATTTATTGTATTTTTGTGGGGAATTAATTGTATGCTTATTTATTTATTGAGCATTTAGTTATTTCTGTATTTATTTCTAAATATGGTAGAGCTGGTCCTCCATACGTGCGTAACTTTGCGTGAAAAAATATGCAATAAAAGAGGTCAAAAGGAGTTCTATCGAATTTTTTCGTCCTAAAACTAAAATGACAAATCAAAAGACATTTTCTGAGAGGTTCTATAAGTAAAATACCCGGTTATGACAAAAGCATCTTTATCTGAATAAGTATCTGGTAAAAAAGGGAACAAAATGGGGGGAAAAGGCCAAAATTCTTACAAATCATAAATTAGAAGGAAAGTAGTTACCAACCTCTGTATCCATTATATGCACCTTTATTGGGGTTAAGGGATTTTACTACTGTCAGTGTCCACAGAAAATAATAATGTAAAGATGTAATGTTGTATAAAGAAGCTGTGGAAAGATTGGTTCCACAATCACAATCACTGCAGGTTGAAGGATGCAGTCAGGGTCATTTTTGGTGCCACTAGTTGGTTTTTCGACAGATATTAGACAGGAAAGCAGGCATAGAGAGGAGGAAGAACTTGGATTAACTGGCCTGAGCTTGGAGCTGAATCGTTGATAGCTGGGTTGAGGGCTGACAGCCTGAGTACAGGGTGCACCTACTCTACCCAGTCTGCTACTGGTGTTGTTACACCTAATGATGATGGGACTCTGGAAATATGTTCAGCTATGGATTAAAAAAGTCTATTTTCCATTTTGAATCACATCCAGTGATAATTTTTTTTTTTGAAATAAGGAAAAAAAGACAGAATTTACAGCTAAAATTTTTTAGTCTCTTGCAGGATCCATTAAAACATTGAGTCTCATTGGTCCTCATTAATCATTAGTTTATTTTATGTTTTTTTTTAGGTTGACTAAATCAGAGTATACATCTGCATTCCAAAACTGCTATTATAGCAGCAACTCAATGTTTCTTTTAATTTTTTTTTTTAGGGTAATCTTTATCGTGGTGAACTCTTCATCTTCTAACTTGTTCTCTGAACATGGAGGCTTTCCCCTGTAGACTATAAAGCTCTGGCCCTGCTGTGGTAACCCAGACGTAAACAAGCAAGCACTTTACCCTGTCTTTCATCCTCCAGCTCTGCGCTAACGCCTTGGAGCCCTCGATCTTCTCCAAGTGCCTTTTCTTCATGAAGGTCAAGGGAAGCTTCCAGTCATTCATGTCTGCCTCCTCTTCCTCAGTCAGCCCCACGGCTGGGGAATGAAGCAGCTCCGAGTCCATTTTCATCAGGGCCCTAAAAGGGGTTAAATGCAACAGATGTGATGAGCTTCTGTGGTCTGCAGAGAATTATTGTACAAATATGCATCAGAATCTATTGGAAAACATCTCAAAGCATCTTTAATCAATTCTCAGTGACTGATCCGTATACCGCCATTAAAACTCATCATGACCAGAATAAACCGGATGTATGCTAGCCCCAGCTCTGAAAAGGCCCAATCATATCTTCCGTTGTGTCCTTAAGCTTCACCTAATAACAAATCTTGGTATCCCCCTTAATATCTGTGCAATTTCAAATTAAGACATTTTTCTTTGTTGTTAATGGGACGGTTGATCATAAATAATAAATCAGTTAAAACTGGAAGTCATCACAGCAGGATCGGGTATCTGCCAAAAAAGCTAAAAAATCCCTACAGGAAAAACAGCACTTTAAGGAATAGATAAGGTTACTGATTTTATCTTCTTTACCTGTTCTTTCTTGAAACACTGTCTGACTTTCTTTCTGAACAATTTTTGACCTCACTTCTAATTTAAAAAGAAAATAAAGGACTCAGTATAAGTTGAAAACAAAACAAACAAACAGTAAAAAGATTAGACCTTTCTTTGTTATATGCTGGCAAAAACCAAACGGGAAAAAAAAAAAAAGAATAAATAAATCTGGTCAACTTTTTTGGGGAAAAAAAGAAAAGTAAACATGATTTTTAAAGGCTGATGCTGATACTGATTATTTTGATACCACCTTGATCCACTAAGTGTGCTGCTGATATTTCTGGGCCGACTGTTGGAGACGATATTGCTTTTCCTTCCTCCATTTACAGGAAAAAGATGACATAATAATAAATGTTGCACAAGCATTAGTTTGACCAAAAAACACAAGTCAAAAGAAATATCAAGAATGGACAGAAAATGGAAGTAGCAGCAATGCATGACTGCTGAACATTCGATAGAAGAAAACAAACGCGTCCGGCCAATGTATCGGTCTTCTCTACATCATAAATGTAAAATAAAACCAACCACAAGGAATTTCCCAAAGCAATCACTTTGTATTAGAAAATTTCTTTCTTTAATAAACAGAAATATTCTGCTTTAAGGAAGCATTAATTTCATTAAGCTATACTGTATTCAGATCAGTTAATTCAGATCTTTATTTTATTCTATCACATAGGTCTGATAGAAATAGACCATCCAGTTTAGCTTTAACTCTTGACTCACAGCATCACATTTTTCCACTTAGCTCTAGAAATGACTGCAGCCTGTCTGGACACACCACCCCGTTTGTACACCAGTAAAAGTCCTGAGAATACTGAGGTCACTCATTTCCAACGTCTGCTTTTTACAACTTCTACAATCCTATTTTTCTATGATGTTTATAAGTCATGCTTTTTAGTCTGCCATCAAAACACACTCTAAAAAAAAAAAGAAAACTGACACCAAACCCACTGCAGTGCAGATATTTCGCAACCGATCAGCCCACCTATCATACTGTATACTTTTTGCAAGTTATTCAACTGTTCTGAAATGTTCAAATTCCGGTCAGATAATTAAAGATTGCGTTTTTTGAACTAAACCATGAAAACTTATTTAGGGTTTAATTTGAGTTTTAATAGAGATCTTTATGCAGTGTTGTTCTTTTACAGGCTCGGCTGTTAAATACAATTTGCTTCCTTCCATTGGTCCTCTGATCAATCTGCACCAATTGCCATATTTTTGGGTGATGGGCAATCAGCAGATACTAACATGGGGAAACAATCTTATCCACCATCTTATTTACAATCTTATCTACCCCTGCCATCCATCCATTGTCGATGCTCTAAGCCCTATCATATATACACTATATTGCCAAAAGTATTTGCTCACCTGCCTTGACTCACATATGAGCTTAAGTGACATCCCGTTCCTAATCCATAGGGTTCAATATGACGTCGGTCCACCCTTTGCAGCTAGAACAGCTTCAACTCTTCTGGGAAGGCTGTCCACAAGGTTTAGGAGTGTGTTTATGGGAATTTTTGACCATTCTTCCAGAAGCGCATTTGTGAGGTCGCACACTGATGTTGGACGAGAAGGCCTGGCTCTCAGTCTCCGCTCTAATTCATCCCAAAGGTGTTCTATCGGGTTGAGGTCAGGACTCTGTGCAGGCCAGTCAAGTTCATCCACACCAGACTCTGTCATCCATGTCTTTATGGACCTTGCTTTGTGCACTGGTGCACAGTCATGTTGGAAGAGGAAGGGGCCAGCTCCAAACTGTTCCCACAAAGTTGGGAGCATGGAATTGTCCAAAATGTCTTGGTATGCTGAAGCATTCAGAGTTCCTTTCACTGGAACTAAGGGGCCAAGCCCAGCTCCTGAAAAACAACCCCACACCATAATCCCCCCTCCACCAAACTTTACACTTGGCACAATGCAGTCAGACAAGTACCGTTCTCCTGGCAACCGCCAAACCCAGACCCGTCCATCAGATTGCCAGATGGAGAAGCGCGATTCGTCACTCCAGAGAACGCGTCTCCACTGCTCTAGAGTCCAGTGGCGGCGTGCTTTACACCACCGCATCCGACGCTTTGCATTGCACTTGGTGATGTATGGCTTGGATGCAGCTGCTCGACCATGGAAACCCATTCCATGAAGCTCTCTGCGCACTGTTCTTGAGCTAATCTGAAGGCCACATGAAGTTTGGAGGTCTGTAGTGATTGACTCTGCAGAAAGTTGGCGACCTCTTCGCACTATGCGCTTCAGCATCCGCTGACCCCGCTCCGTCAGTTTACGTGGCCTACCACTTCGTGGCTGAGTTGCTGTCGTTCCCAAACACTTCCATTTTCTTATAATACAGCTGACAGTTGACTGTGGAATATTTAGGAGCGAGGAAATTTCACGACTGGATTTGTTGCACAGGTGGCATCCTATCACAGTTCCACGCTGGAATTCACTGAGCTCCTGAGAGCGACCCATTCTTTCACAAATGTTTGTAAAAACAGTCTGCATGCCTAGGTGCTTGAATTTATACACCTGTGGCCATGGAAGTGATTGGAACACCTGATTCCAATAATTTGGATGGGTGAGCAAATACTTTTGGCAATATAGTGTATGTAAGAGGCCTAAATAATGTTTTTATTGTTTCACTAGGATCGTTTAAAGAACAAGTCATGCAGGACCAGGGCCTTCTTTACACTCATTTATAATATGTGAAAAGTGCTCGTTATGGAGGCAGTGCTCGGTGAACCAGGTGACATGCAAGGGGGGGGGATCAGGGCTGGAAGAGGCCTCGGCTGTGACTGACTGATGACTTGACAGTGGCGCAATCATGGAGGGAGAGGATTTCTCCCAACTGTATTCACTATAAACAGAGCAAATGGGGGAATATTCTGCAAAGGAGGCCAGAGGTCCAAAAATTATACTGATTTAAGTAGCTGGTTCTAGAGATTCCCAAACCCTGGATAAGTTAGTTTAGGTTGGAATTTCGGATAAGAGGCTTCAGTAGCTTCATTTTCATGTTTGAGCCGACAAAGGAACTCTGCTCTAACGGCCCCCTCCTCGGACATAAGGCTCACATAGGGATCATACCTAAATATCTGTACCAAACAATCTTGATAAACAAAAATACTAACTCTAACAAAGGGTCACTAGAGCCTAATAACGTAATTAGTGCAAAAGACTATGAAAAGCGGAGTGAGATCCTTTAAGGGAGTGGAATTTCAGATCTAAAAACGTCTTAAACTGATAATTAAAGTTGACTATGGCTACAGAGATGATGCTGAAGATCAGCCCATAATTTAGCACCATCTCTTATTTCCCCTTTCTTTCCTAATTGAGGCATTAAATACCATGAAATTGTTGCTAAGGGTTATCACACTGTCAGAACTTCATACCGGCTCATAGCCTAATATTATTTTTTCCTACGTTATAAAGAGTTGCTAAAAGCAGAAAAAGCATTAAAATTGGATTTAAAAAAGTGTGCGTCATCTTTTTAGTGTTTTATTACGATTTGACAATACCTTTATGTCACTGGGTCATAAAAAATTCAAATTTCAACATTGTTTGATTAAAAAATTGATTGACGCTCCAAAAGCGAAACACTTTAAGTAGGAGAAGAGAGTCAGCAGAGAGCTTTTCAGGGCAGAGCCTCTGATGTCAGTTTCTCTGGATGAGGTCACAATATTGAGGAAGTCAACACTAAAAATAACTAGTAAATACTCCTAAACCGATGATTGCTACAAATGTGAGGAAAATAGTCCAATTAATAGATGGGACAGACAGCACAATGCAGCACTGATGTACACAGTTTATTAGCTAAGGGTTTTCAATAAACTTAAGATTCTAACATTAAAAGGTTATTATGACCTGACAGTGTCAATTACAAAAACAACAATATAAAAAATATACACCATTGGCCAAAATCAGGTCACTATTTTTAAACATCTGCAATTATTGGACCCCTAATTAACCGTGCAACTTGGCAGTTTCCATTCGACCTGCGCTGGTTCGCTTGATTTGCCTGATTGCCATCTTGTTCAGCTAAGCCAGGGCAAAAATGTATCTAATAAGTTAATTTGCCGTTTTTTGGTGCAGGAATGTGTCATCTGTTGTTTGGAACTGGAATGGGTCGTCTGAGACCCTATGCTGCAACATTTGCCTAAATACCATTGCAGTGAAAGACAGCCGGCACAAACCTTTTCCAACACCTCAAACAGAGGCATCTAGTCGAATCTGAAAAAAGGCTAATTTCTCCAAGGTGAACAAAACCAAAGTGACCAACAAACTACAGCTAAAAAACAGCACACTGTAGCTGAATCTATTGCACAAGTTATCGCATATCACAGGAAAGGGGCACGGTGAAGAACAATCCCTGAAATAGTTGCTTTGCACATAGTTAAAGACATGGTGCCCATATGTACCATAGAGAAGATGAGGTTTATTAATATGATTAAAACAGTAGAAACCAGATAAGAGCTACCCAGTAACAAGTACTGCAATGAAGTCACCTTGCTGTTGCTTTCCTTATTAAGGATGAGGTCTGAAAATTTTTTTAAATTGAAATACAAAAAAAAAATAACTAAATAAAATAATCAGAGATTTTATTTCTAGGCATATCGCCCAGCCCTATGTTCAGCCCAGACCACCTTCATAGGTAGACCATTGGTGCATTATCCCCTCATAGTATAGGTGTGACACTGTATATGACAAACTGTGAGAAAAAAGGTAGTAGACGACTAACATAAATCTCACTGTGAAGACCAATTTAGCTGTTAGATCATCATTGTGGAGAAAAAATATTCAATCCTAACCTTCTTGGTCGCAAAAAAGTACTTTTGTTCACACAGGATGTTCCATCATCAATTATTCTGAGTAATTTTCCATCTATTTTTAGTCGGTGGAGTAACAATGTGGTCAAGTGACTCCAATACATCACATGCAGAAGCAGAGATCTGAGGGAGTTGTTATTAGATGGGTGATGGGTCTCAATCCTAAAGGCTTCAGTCAATTAACCCAACAGAGATCACAAGCCAAATCAGAGGAGAAAAAACAAGTACAGTTTTTGAAATCTGACTTAAATTAAACAAGAACAATAATGTGAGTCCTTATACGATTTGTTGATCTCTACAATTAATAACTGTGCTTACAGATATTTCTTAATTTTTAGAAAAGTATGTTTTCAACGCATTATCTATGGGTACAATATCACAGTGGCAAAGAATGTATATGGGTGCAATATTTCATGTTGTGCTTTTACTTCATAACTCTTAATGTATCTGGCAATGTTTTCCTAATGTCACTGAGGCCTATTTATTCCATAGGAATCAAATGCTATGAAAGGTTTTTAGGTTTTCGCGACCGGATGTAAGAGACATTTGATGTGTGCGGTTGCAGAAGTCTAAAGGCCAATTTATGCTTCTGACGCATAGCCTCTGCAACTGTCCAAGCTGTCTCTATGCTTGACCACGGCCCCCGTGCAGAGGCTCTAAAACCGTTGTCGCGCATCTCAAAAAAATCCTGATTACGCGTAGGACGGTTACAAACCTGCGCAGACCTCAAGGTGAAGTGCGCGGACAAACAGCAGCTGTGATTGGTCCTTGGTAGCCTTTCCGGCTGTCTGTGTGGTCGTCCTTCTCGATTCGGTGCGCACCATTTTTAAAAGGAACAACTCTTTTTGCCAACTCCATTAACAGAACCTGGTCCTCTTCGATGTCTAGCAACTCCAGATACATCTCCCTGACCGTGATATCTTGAAGACACGCCATTGTTGTTTTGGAAGATAAACACTCCCGCCCACACCACTGAAGTTCTTGTGAATATCCGCTAAAGTTCTCTCGAGTTCTCGAATAGGCTCCCCTTTCCACTTTGGCGGAAACTGCTATGCGTCCCTCGAAATTCCAGACTGACGTTGCAGAAGCATACCAGCAAAACTGGTTCGTGACCAGACCCAAGCAACATTTGATGTATGTTCGAGAACTCGCGAGAACTTCAGCGGACAGTCACGAGAACTTCTTTGGCGTGAGTGGAAGTGTTTATTTCCCAAAACAACAATGGCGCATCTGGAAGATATCACGGTCACAGAGATAGCTAGAGTATCCATTGTTGTTATTCCTCGATTTTTAAAAATGCCGTGACCCGGCGCCGAATTAAAAAGGACGACCACACAGACAGCCGGAAAGGCATACCAAGGACCATTCACAGCTGCTTTTTGTCTGCGCACTTCTGCTTGAGGTCTGAGCAGGTTTCGGACCATCCGACTTATAGTAAGGATTGTACGGTTGTAGAGGCTATGCATCAGAAGTATAAATTGGCCTTTAGACATCGGTCTAACTGATCCACGATATGTTCAGCTGAGTTTAAGTGCTAATTTCTGCAGCCAATGTTGTTGGGGGGGGGGGGGGGTCGCTGGGATAAAGTGCAACAATGATAACACATGATACAAAAAGTCTCAGTTTATACTAAAAGAAAACATTAAAAAAAATAACTGAAAAAAATATATTAAAAGGATATTTAATGGGTGGAGGGCAATGCATGAGCTAAATGAATGGCTGCTGAATGCACCAATGATCAGAGAACTGATGCACCATGCAAGAAAGACAAAGCAAATAATATCAGGCAGCTGATATTCTTCTCTGCCAAAAGGTTATGATTTATCTGAAAAAGACTCGGGGTCACATAAGATCATTATTTTAAAACTTCATAATTAAAGTCATTTGTTTGTAATGGCTTCCTGCAATTGTTTAAACGAGTTCTTATTGCAAGGGAGGGGGTTGCTGTGTGTTCACTTGCACCAGTGATCATGGTGATCATGGTGCTCCGCGCTATCTCCTCGTAAAAGTTGTCCAAACAAAAGCTGCAGGCTGCATCCTGTTAGCTCCACTAGCTGCTCCGCTCCACTGTGACTGACCGAGGCTATTTCTATCAAAACTCCTCCCTGTAGTTTACACAGCAAACGAGCAGAGAGATAAAGGAGAAGGAGCAGATGTTCAGAAATGGTGCTAAGTGGTGCTAGCGAAGCGTGCGGATGCAGACCTTGGTGCGGTGGGATGACCAACCCGGGATGGGGAAGAAGCTCTCCGTCTCCGGACAATGACAGACACCGTAGTGCAGAATATCCTGGTCAGGAAACTGTAGGGCAGCGTCCAAAGCCGGTAGAGGAGGTCGAAACCGTCAAAGGCGAGCTGGACCGGTGCGTGTTTGCAGGGGAACCTGCGGCTCCTCTCCCCGGGGCTCTTTGCTATGGGACAGGGCTGGAGACGAGGCCCATCTTCACACGGACAGTCTGCCACAGCCGCGCGAGGAGACGGCCACACTTATGGACGAGGGGGGTCCTGCGCCTCAGCGAGCCCACGAGCTGATTTTGTCCGAAGTGTTTCTGGGAAACTAAACACAGACGCGGGAATATCTCCGGAGAGGCACTTCTTCAGCGCTTCAGCAAGGGCGCAGCCATGTTGGGTTAGACCCAGAATGCACTGAAGCTGCCGTGAAACGTCATCACCGTTTCCTGTCATGCACCAAAACAAACATTACAACTGATAGAGCGACTGCACGTTTGTGTCAAGGGGAATCAAAACGTGTGATTTATTGGATTTATTTTTAATAATAATAGTAATTTATTATTTAAATTATTATTTTTTTTTTTATTTTGAATTAAAAATCTGAAAAGTGTGGCGTGCCCACACTTTGTGCTCAGCCCCTCCTGCTCTGATAAAATAATTAAAATCCAGTGTCCATTTATTATGAATGACAGCTGTTCTGTGAATAATACATTAGTGAAAAAACATGAAATTTAAGGAGCACTTCAGACAGTTAAAGGAGAGAGCTGGGAGTGAAAAAGGTAATATCCCATATTGAAATAAGGATTGGGAGATCCATCCATCTATCCATCCATTTTTTAATATTCTTGTCCCAAGTGGGGTCATGAGGGGTACTGGTGCCTATCTCCAGCTGTCTACGGGCGAGAGGCGGGGTACATCCTGGACAGGTTGCCAGTCCATCGCAGGACAACACAGAGACAAACAACCGTTCACGCACAAACTCACACCTAAGGGGACTTTAGAGAAGCCAATAACCCTAACAGTCATGTTTTTGGACTGTGGGAGGAAGCCGGAGTACCCGGAGAGAACCCACGCATGCTCAGGGAGAACATGCAGAAAGACCCTGGGTTGGGAATCGAACCCAGAACCTTCTTGCTATCCACTGCTCAACTGAGCATCAAAGATTGGGAGATATGGTTTAAAAATCTAATCCCTGATTTTTGTTCTTACCAGATCCATTAATACATCTTTTTTTCTCCTGAAAGTTTCATAGTACAAATAACGACTTAAGTATTACTTTCAAGAACTAGCTTTTTATTCAATCATCCTATCTGGGAGGTAAACAGGTTTTAAAAATGCAACGCAAATTTCAAGCTGGTAAAATAATTTCACTTTCAGCATTTTTTCAAAATAAACAATGAAAATATAACAAACTAAATGTTTGCAACTAGTGATGTTACACACGCAGTCAGTTTATCAATTATAAGTAAAGACAAGTGGGTCAAGTACCCAAAGGTTGTATTCAAGTGAGAGTAGTGTACTGCATCCTATTTTTACTCCAACAAATAACTCATAAAAATCAATCCTGATCATGAAATCATCAGGTTTAATGTTTTAAAATCATGTCAATGTTGTCTGCAAATTTTGCAAATAAGATAAAATTAAATTAGTATCCAGTATGTCCAGTAATTAAAGGATCATTTCAAGTGAAAGTAAAACAAGATATTTTGCTATAAAAACTCTGATGTCATCAGTGATAGACTGTTATATAAGTAGATCAGTATAGATCAATATATTACAAGTTACTTGCAGTGGATAGTGCTGCTGCTTGATCCCAGGTTCAATTCCCGACCTGCTGTCTTTCTGCATGGAGTTTGCATGTTCTCCCTTTGCAGCTGTCTAAGGGGCCCTGCTTGGTTACTTTCTGGCACATGATTCAGTTAACTGTTTGCATTATTTTGACCTCCAAATGGCATGAAAGGATCAGCAAAAAGAAAAAGAAAATAACATTAAAATGAAGAAGCTAGAGAACAGAGTCTTTAACTGTAGGAGCTTGTCTCTTTGGTGCATTTTCCTGTTTTTCATTGGGTGAAGTTACCCATGATGGGTAGAGTAGCTAAACATTTTACTCAAGCAAGAGTAGTGATATCTCATCACATTTTAACTGAAGTAAAAGTAAAACATATGATGCAGAAAAACTACTCCTTAAAGTACGTTTTTCTCAAAAAGTAAATATAACTAGTTACTATCCACCTCTGAGTACACATCTAAGAACAAAAAGAAAAGAACAGATGAAATGACAAGAAGTTCAAAATAAAAATCCAGATTTTCACAAATTTAAGTCTCTAAACAGAGAATTAAATTAATAATTTTTATCGATTAATTGCTTAGCCCTAGTTAGGAAATAAACTACCGGTAAGCACATTTAATTAAGATGTGGCCAACAAAACACTTGTTTAATAAAAAGAGTCCTCACCCCCACCTCAGTGTTATTCAGTTTTATTCAAGATCTTAAGTTCTCATGAAAAAGTCTTTATCAAACATTGTGGCATAAAAAATGACAACTATATGATACTTTCATGCCATAAACCTTATATATTTATAAAGAATTGCTTTTCTTGGGTGGATTTGTTTATTTTTCTAATGAGGGCTTTTCAGACACTTTTTTTTGTTGTTTTTCTTCTACTGCAAGTCAATTTCACTCAGAACCTGCATGAGTCAAGTGACCAGTGTGTTTATATGAGCGCTTAGTTTTCAAACAGCTGGAGCCAAATGCTTTTTTACTAAAGGAAGACATGTGGAGAGGAAAAAAGCTGCTGCGTCTGCACCCCCGAAACCAAAGGTAACCACAGACTTCATGTACTTGCTCAGGTGGTCGATCATGATTTCACAGAGAGACGGTTAATTGAGAGAATACAATCAACATGTTTACCAGTTTGCTCTCGATCAATAAAGAAGTTTGCTCCAAGGCCTTGATGAATATCATTAAGCAGAATGCGGCCTGTTATGGGCACAGATGACTGTATGGCACTGTGATCACTAGCAGCTTTGCTAGGTGGTCGGCTTACCTACAAATAGGAAAATGTGAAAAAAAATAATCACTCTCTCTGCATTCACCAATGGAAAAATCTTTCCAATGACCTGTTGCTTGGAGCTAACTCAAAGATACTTCTGACCTCATTTGTTCCTGTAGCCTTCCATGCCTCGGTGTCTGTTGCTGCACTGGGAAACCGATCCAATCACTGGGGTTGCAATAGAGGTAGGGACCCTGAGTTGGCTGGAAGGCAGCTAAAGGAAAGGTAAAAAGGGGAGCTTGGTCTCCTCTCCTCATTCTTATCCACTCTTCTGTCACACAGGGAACAGCATGACAGCCATGCTGGATGCTGAAAGCTCTCTGTAAAAAAGACAGGAACAGGAGAGGCAAAAAACTCCTGCTTCCTCAGATTGATTGCTGGAAGGCGAGAGAGAGAAAAGAGTGATAAATGAATTCAAGCAGGCTGGTGTTCATATGAAGAACCGCGTTCATGTAATCCACCAGCGGGATACAAGAAACCAGAGACACTAGGGTCATAGACAACCATCTGTCATTTTAAAGGATATAATCCCTCTCATCTCTGTCTAAAATCAATAAAACATTAAGAATTAAAATGTTTTGGAAGTAGATTTTGAATTAAAAACAAACAAACACTATTTAATGTTTATAACAGTTAACATTGATTATTTTTTATTGCATGGTATTCCATATAAAAGGTCAGAAACCAAAACAAAAAAGGCCAGTGCTAATTAGGTCCTTTGTTGGTGTTTTTAAACCAAAGTTGTAGAATATTGATAGATAAACATAGCCTTTGTGATTAATGATTTGTGATACATAGCTTAATGATGATAGGTATTTACTCTCTGAAGGGCTCCACTGAGAATGTTGGCACTAATAACTCATCTTCAAGGTTGACTGACAATAATAAATTGTTATTCTGTACACTTTAAAAATCAGATTTCACATACAAGGCCTCTTACAGTTGCCATGTGGTAATATGGTTGATATTTACATACAGTGCTTTGCAAAAGCTTTTATACTCTTTGAACCTCTTGTTTTTTTTGGCCCACAGGAATCACTTCAGTGTTTTATTGATATTTCATGTGATAGACTTACACAGCATTGTGTATAACTGTAACAAGGAAAAAACTCTTCAAGAGCAGGTAAACCATGGACCAAAAGAAGACAAAGGAATAGTCTTTAGAGATAGTGAGCGTTTGATTAGGCTTAACCAGTAGAACTGGAAGGAACAAAGAGTGTGTGGAGTAAAGAAGTGTCCTTATAAAACATGGTTTTTCATGTGGTAGTGTCAATTTTCAAATAAAATTTTCACTGTTAAAATTGATTAGAAATTAATAATTTGTTTAGAGATAATCTAAGGTTTAGATTCTGATAAAAGCTTCTTGTTTTGCCTTTATAATGATTTGTGAGAGACCAGAACAGAAGGATCCAGTAATTTGGGGCGGACAAAACAGTTAGATTTATCAGAATGTTTTATCAACAACAGAATCGAGTGGACGGCTTTGGCGTCTGAGGAAGGAAACTCTGGTCTTATAGTTTATTCTAAGTCCAGAGGTACAGGATTGTTCAGGCCAGCTGGCTGCCACACAACCAGTCCCAGATGCAGGTATATTGGAGGTCAGAGAAAAGGTAGGAGATCAGAACCAAGCAGAGGGATGTAGGCAGGACAATCCAGAGAGCAAAGCCAATTTCAGAGACACGGTTGGTTGTCAGAGCCAGGAGGTCAGAGATCCAGTGAGGTGCCGAAGGAGAATCCACACTGAGTCAGGTAACAGTTTCAGGTTCTGTACAAAATGGGGCTGACATGCTGGACGAGAGCAGGCAGACTCAGTTGCTGGGAAAAGGTATCGGTACACAAGCAAGCAGAGATCAGGTAGGAGTCAGAAGACAGATCAGACAAACAGATCAGACGGTAAAAAAGGCAGGCGCAGTGGTCCAGAGGGAAAACAGGTCAGGATCAGGCAATCAGAACACAAGTTCGCTTAAGTAAGTCTCACCACACTGCTCAAAACTATCTGGCACTGATGACTGGTCTGAAGTCTGGTTACATAGAGGCCTGAGCAGGTGGATAAGATGAGTGGTAATGAGAACTGGGCAAAGCTAAGAAGGTGTGTGAAATGAGTGATCAGCCCAGGCATCTGTGCCAAGATCATGATCCAAAGAAATTGTCAAAATTTACATTGTGTCAGGTTTTTTTTAGGTTTAAGATCCCTGAAATATGTTGTAACAAGCCATGGTACAGCTCATTTTTGTACACAGCTGCCTACAGACTGTTTCATTTTAAAACATAGAGAAGCAACGGTAACATTTGTTAGCTTTAAAACCTTCATCTTCCTCATGAAATCTGCTGACAAAACAATCAATAGCAACTAAGGAACTGATTGA